TGGAGTCGAACGATCATTGTGTCCATTTACTTTCTCGACTCCGCAACACCCACGAGCAGGCCGTATTCAACGCGTGCTAACACAGTCTCCGCGGTGGCACAAAGCTGCACCTCCCCAGTGTGTTCACTCTGTCGTGCGGAGTCTGCGTGAATCAAAATAGACTCCACATGAACCACATAAAAATATGTCTTCTCCGCAGCGTCCTGATCCAAAGACGACGGTGTTGCGTGTGGACGATGCAACACACTGCGCAACACGAGATCATTCACCGCCTCACGGTTTCGCAGCTGCTGCAGGGGAACTCGGATGGACACATCAACTGTCAGCGGCTGAGGCGCGTACACATAGCCACGACAGAGGCAAAGAAATGGTGGTATTGGCGGCGGCAACGCAGGCCGCGTCTCGACACGTTTCTTCCCACCCTTCGATGGGCCGGATCGCTTTGCTCGACTCCCCATTCCCCCCGCCCTCTACCGCAGGCACCACCACACCCCTGAAGCCAAACCGCGTCCAAAAAAAAAAAAGATAAATAAAATAACATAAACGGATAATAATTGAGGCTCCCTCAAATTTTGTTGACGTTTTTTTTTCTTTTTTTTTTTGTGTGTGTGAAAGAGAGTTTACTTTCACTCCACGCTTTCTCTTTCACACCTGCAAAAGACGTGTCGCGCACACCAACGCAAAATCACGTATTTCTCCGCATGGCAAGGGCACCAATAGAAGTAATATGGAGCAACTGTGCAGAGGCGCACAAAAAAAACAAAGGGGGTAGCAATAATTCAACACATCCAACATGTTCAAACAACAACAACAAAAAAAAAAAAAAAAATGCCCCATGAACACGAAACGCTGCCTAAACGTATCTGCTTCTTGTCAGTGTTTTTTTTTTTTTTTTTGGTTTAGAGTGGAGGCAATTGTCTGATTAATTTCCGTCGTCGTTTCCTCAGTCCATGTTGCCTTTCCTTTTTTTGTGTGTTTTGTTTTTTCCACCCGGAAACCACACATGGCCCTTGTGTGTATATATACACGTATGTTTGTATTCCACAGTGAACAAGAGAGAGTGAGAAAAAAGAGAGTGAGAAAAAAAAAAAAAAAAAAAAACAGAAGTTACCGGTCAGTTCTGCTCCTCTTCGCCCTGCGCAGCTCCAGCAAACCCTGCGGTGTGGCCTGCCAGGAGCACAATTCGCGGCTGTAGTAGTCTCGCGTCAGTGGGTCCCAAAACATGTCCAAATCAAAACTGTAAAAGAGGTCGCTCTTGTCATCGTACACCCAGTCATTGGCGCCATCGATGGTAATCTCAAGCTCCTCGGCGGTGAGGTACAACGGCTCCTCCGGCTCGCCAAGTATTGGACGCAGAAAACGAGTCATATGTCTGCTCCTCTCACCGTGGCTCGTCTGCACGCGTTCTCTTCGACGGCGCTCCTGTTCCCTCCGTTCATCATACTTTTGGGCGGTCTGGGCACGAATGGAGTGCGGATATGAACACAGGAAGATGGCAGTGATGCAGGCAACGAAATTAAAGCATATAGACGCAATGTAAACATCAAACCCCCAGTCATATCTAACGCGACACTGTGGTGAGGGACTGTGCAACGCCTCACACGCTCGTCGTTCACAACGTGTGTAAAAGTGAAATAACACACAGTTCACTATACCACATGGTAAGGCTAAAAGAAGCAAACACAACACGACCAATGAGCTGTGCGAGCGAGTTGGGCGGCTTGCTATCCGCAATGTCACAATAATACCCAAAAGAATACAAAAAAACTGTACAATAGCAAGGCTCCACATGGCACTAATGTACGCACGCACAAACGATTCAGATGCCTCACATATAATCGCTTTCGTCAGACTATCACGCAGCTGACGTGGATACCTCGAGCTACCGCGTTGCATGCAGAACCCTACAACCCCTTCATAGCAGGAAAAAATCAGCCCCATAGACCGATACTGAAGATGATTCAATGTCACAATCCACTCTGTCGAGCACATACCAATCGCCATGCAAAAAACCGAAGGAGCAAGTAGGCAAAGAAGAAATGTCACAAAACGATTGAATGCGTTAATGCTATTATACTTCGTTTCCTTGTACAGTACAATCTTCTCAACTGCCGTGCGGTCGCGCCTCAGTTCACCGTCAAGGTGCAACTTCATGTTCCCAAGTCGGTTTGGAATGTACACCTCTGATGGAACGGGAGAAACCGAATCAACACGCGTGATGTGCGTATTTGTGGTGAGGTTGGCGGCGACAATAGACCCCGCTTCCGATGCGAGCTCATGGCGCACCTCACCGCCGTCCCTTGACATCCTTCGATGAAACTATGACACTGTAAATAATGAAAGAAAGAGAAAAATAGAAAACAACATGCACCGCCATGTGCTCGCAACACACACACACACACACACATTAATACATAGAAAGAGTTTTTGTGTGTGAAAGAGAGAAAGAATCCAAGACACACGCATCACTTCACTTGCATAAAGATTAAACAAAAAAAAAAAAGGGGGAAAGAGGGGGGAGGAGAAACGTGTCAAGGTGATCGCCCCCCTCACTACTCCCCAAGGCAAATCCCAAAGAAGTGAATGGCCAAAAAGCCGAATGCCTCGCTGACGACCGAGCGTGGGACAAATCCCGTCGTAGCGGGTTCCAGTGTCCCCAATTCTGTGTGATGAGGCGTGTTAGAAGTGTTTTTGTCTGTGCAGAGAAGTTGCAACACCAACGCGCCACTGCCACGGTCATCCAGCAGGTACAAAAGAATCTGTGTAGCCTCCGCCCGCTCCTCGGGACTCATTTTGTGCGCCACTGTTGCCATCCCCGATTGCGCGACCTCTGTTGCCCACGACGACAGGCAGCAGAGTGCCTCGTGAAGAAGATAAAATAAATGCCGGGCGGCGGCGCAAAGTGCTTTGAATGTGAGAAACCCGTCGTGGGCAGGAACTCCAGCGGCGTAATCACAAGATTCGGTAAGCCAACGCGCCGTGTCAACAACACCACGAAAGGCCCGAAGTAATGGGAGAAGAAGGGCGACAAGAGCCGATGTGGCCTCCTCTGCCATAATCCCTCCTCCTTTTCCCCCTCCCGTTGTTCCCAGGCGCTCATGAATCCAGCCCGGTGAGAGTTGCAGGAGATACTCCGGCACAACATGACGAATGTCCACAGCATTAACGCAACTGTGCACGTCATTTGCCGAAGGAATGAGCACGGCGGCAGAAGGATATCCTGTACCGTCTCCACCCGGACGCAATGGCAGAGTCCAACCCTCATCGGCCTGCAGGGATGAAGGACACCATGGCGTCAACGCCTTCGATGAAAAGTCTCGAATCATGGCATGTGAAGCGTCTTTGGAACACGGACGCGGTCTCCTCATTGTCGTTAAAGCCATGTCATCTGAGCTCATCCCTTCTGTATCGGCAAAACAAAAAGATGAAGAATGCGTTTCTCTTCTGTTTTTGGCATCTCCAGTCACCGCAGTTAACAGGCTCCGCTCATGTGGGAAGAAACGAGCCCGCAGAGTCTCCGCCTCCTCCGTGAGAGCCCTCACGTTGGACTCATGTATCTTAAACCATTCCCGCTGGCGAGACACACTTGCGTAGATGCGGTAGAGCTGTATCTTCAGCTGCGCCGTCAGCGAATCCTCGCGCGTCCACGGGCGAGACGGCTGCGTCTTCTCCTCGTCCATGCCCTCCTACCGCCCCGCCGTGCAACGATGAGCAGGACGCATCCGCACGTCTGGAAAAAGTGGATAATAAAGAGGAGAAAAGGGAAAACATGACATGGCCAACCGTCCACAGACAGAGGGGGAAAAAGAAAAGGAAAAGCAACGACATAAGGAAAAAGTGTTGTCCGGGCAGAAAAAAAACAAAAAAGGAAAAAAAAAAACTTTTTCATATCGAGAAGAAAAAACACCAAATGCCTTTCATGCCTATTTCCCGCTGGGATGAGACATCACACGTCGTGGAAGAGCCCGTCCACCCCGCACCGCCTCCTCTCTGACTCCCTCCCTCACACACACAGAGCCACGGAGGCGTGGTACCATCATCATCATCATTTACCGCCCACACTGCATGTAGGAATGGAACGCCAACAAAAAAAAAAAAAAACAGGAAGATACAAATAGACAAAAAGCCGCAAATAAAACAAAGAAAGGAAAGAGGAAAGTGAGAGTAGTAAAGGGGGATGAGAACACAAGGAGAGCGTGCACCATATATGCAGGGGCAAGCTAACAAACATTTCACCACACATAAGCATTTACTTCCTCTTTGAAGGCGCAGCGATGATGTGTCAATAAATAGAAATTTATCAAGGGTGGGGGAGGCGGAGACCACTGCACATTCCAATCAACATCCCCCATTCTTGCTATTCATCCCGCCCCCCCTCCCCACATGCATCAAAAACCCCGGCGTTTTCCTCCTTTTCGGCTCCCCTTTTTATCTCCCCCTTATTCAATCAGACCGCCTGATAACATCTTGTATGTTCTTTTTATTCTTACATCTTCTTCTTCCTTTTTTTTTTTTTTTGTTTCTTCTTCTTCTTGTCCTTTCCGGTTGAAGCGATACATCACCGTCCCTCCTTCCTTGGGACCGGCACATGCGGGTAATTCGCCTTCCATATTCCCTCGTTCACCTGCGAGTAGTCCCAATTCTTGGCGCATTCCTTCGCCCACCACACGCGGCGCATCATGGATGTCTCCTTGTTGCTTGCGACATTCGGGTAAAACGCCGACGAGAGAGCAGAGCCAACGCAGAACCCCAAAACAGTAAAGCCACTGAAGGTACTGAACAGGACAAACCCCGTGTTGCAGCGTGAGAGGACGTAGTAACTTCCAAGCACCGTCGAGAAAGTGGCGGTTGCCACTGCGAATGTTAACTGCTTGCGTCGCACCTGCCACTGTTTGCCCCACACACCACCTTCCCTCTCAAATCGCAGTAAGTCGCTTGGATACATCATTGGAAGATCCGAAACGAGAATCGTCCCTCCTTTGCCCGTCATTCTTCCTCCCTTCGGTTGCCTCCGTGTGCGGTAAGAAAATGATACAAAATAATGACAATAATACAAGTAATAACACGTGCTATCTAATTATTATTATTATTTTTTTTTTTTTTTTCCTTTTTGTTTTCAAAACTCTGCGCGGAAAAAAATATGAATGCACCTTCTATTAAACCCAGCCGCCGCCTCCTTTCCTCTCTCTCTCTCTCTCTCTCTCTTTGTGTGTGTGTTTTATGCGTGCAAAAATAAACACGCAACAGACAATTTTTAAGGGGTTTTATTAAACGCCAAAAGAGAGAAAAAAAAAACATAAGAAAAGGAAAAAAAAAAAGAAGCACACATGACACGCCAAAGGCAGTGGAGGATAACCCCCCACTCACTCACTCACACTCACACAGTCGACATCACACACACACACACACAGAGAGAGAGGGAAAGAAAGAGAGAAAATGAGACACACATGTAAATGTA